GGGAAAGAGCCTCCTATTTCCAGAACTTTCTTAAGAGAAATTCAGTTGTTTGGGATATTTTTAAAATATACTTTATTTTGTAGTAGACAGGAGTGGAAGAGAAAAGGAACTAATCCTCTAATAACTGCAATGAGTGCTTGCTAACTCAAGCAATTTTCTATAATTATTTTATATAGTTAGGTGTTTTCATCTTTAAATGAAAGCAACCATAAGGACCTTCCCCTAAAGCCATGGTTCCTGAAACCAGTTGCACAGCTGAACACCTAGAAAGTTATCCCTTACTGTTTAAAATGCATTTCCAGACGCAATCGCCAATCTGGTTTTAAAAACTCTGTAGCACTTCTGAAGATTTTTTGAATGCGTTATATTTGTACACCCATGTTCACAGCAGCAGTAGACACAGCAGCTAAAACATGGAAGCAACCCCATTATCCATGGACAGATGACTGGATAAACAAAATGTGTCATATACATACAATGGAGTATTATTCAGCCTTTTAAAGGAAGAAAATTCTCACACATGCTACAACATGGATGAACCTTGAGGGCTAAATGGAATAAGCCAGTCACCAAAACACAAACACTGTGTGATTCCACTTAGATGAGATACATAGAGTAGTCAAAATCATAGAGACAGAAAGTAGAATGGTTGTTGCCAGGGCTGTGGGGGAGGAGGGAGTGGGGAATCGGTACAGTGGCAGTTTTGCAAGATGAAAAGGAATTCTGGGGCTTCCCTGGTGGCGCAGTGGTTGAGAGTCCACCTGCCGTTGCAGGGGACACGGGTTCGTGCCCCGGGCCGGGAAGATCCCACATGCCGCGGAGCGGCTGAGCCCGTGAGCCATGGCCGCTGAGCCTGCGCGTCCGGAGCCTGTGCTCCGCAACGGGAGAGGCCACAGCAGTGAGAGTTCCGCGTAGCAAAAAAAAAAGAAAAGGAGTTCTGGAGATGGATGGTGGTGATGTTTGCACAACAGTGTGAATGTATTTAATACCATCAAACAGTACACTTAAAAATGGTGAATATAGTAATGTTTATGTTGTGTATTTTACCACAAAGATAAAAAATGTTTTATAACATGCTTTGAAAATAAAGCCTACGGTTACTCCAAGATGCTAAAAAAATGGTTAACATTAAACACCGGAGAGAACCAAATAGGGCTAAGCAAGGAAAGAATCGTCAGTATATTGATAATTGGTCATTGGAAAGCATTTCAAAATTTTGGAGAAGCATTGATCATTTGTAACAAGAGTTCACAGCTAATGAGCAGCAGAAAATGGAGCATTACAAGTTGACTAGTTTTTATAGCATACCAGGAGATTTCTCCTATTCCTTAAAAATAAAAATTCTCGACTAACTGGAAAATACTCATGGTTACTCTCTTGTCCTGTCCCCTACCCCACCCTTTCACAAAAACTGTGATTATGGCACATTCCCACTTCATGCATCAGTGTTCCAAGAAATTTTCACATGTGAGTTACAATGTAATTATAAACAATTGGTTTTTTAAGAGGTCATTTTATTAGGGCAGCAGATGTCTTTCCCATGAAACGCCCAAGGTTGATGATGTTCATATGTATGACACACTTGCATGATCACAGTCAGTATAACTGGGAGGGAGCTAGGGAGTACAAGACTAGTAAACTCTAATTTAGTAATGAATCTTCCACAAACTTTATTTTCGGTAATGTATTTCCGGACAAATGATGTCATTTATGGTGATAATGTTATGTTCTGAGCCCAGTATACAGCCACCATGTTAAGACATGATAAGCAAAAGACATGACCTGTCTTTACTGGTAGTTGGCAGCCAGGTATAACATTTAGGGAGCTGATTTGATGACACCTTTGTCCTGGGCAGCCTTCGAAACCAGCAATCTCCCAGTCTCCCAACTGGGTTGGCGCGGTCAGCTTGAGCTCCACGTAAATGCTATAGAGTTGTGAGTTCAGCTCATGCAGGGAGAACTGGGTTCAAGGACCCTGGGGCCATCTTGAAAAGATGTCTTCTTTTTGAAGATGGATTTGGTACAGAGTGGATGACTTCTTTCCACCTCAACCGTTAGAAAAAGAAAGCATCGTATAGCTGATGGTTGGCTGGTGTCACCTTTGATTAGGAAAGCTATTGGATATCTGTGGTATTTTGCAAATTGTGAACTAAGTTTCTAGGGAAGGGCCTGATTGCATCACTTCTCTCCATTGTCTCATTATATCAAGGCCTCTTGACTCCTTCATAAACACCTACCACCCAGAGGAGTGAAGGACTCAGGATACAAAGAAGTTGATGGGAGAAACAAAACAAAAGGCCTTTATTTTTTAATAGAAATTGTGTAAAGTTACCTGAAAGAAACTCACAGTTTTATTACTTACAGGAAGGTATTCGTAATTAGACAGCTTCACATGCTTGGTAAATGAGAATATTCACATTGTAACTATTGGATTAAGTTTAGCTGCAGATAGAAATCCTACAATAATAGTGCCATAAATACAAAGGGTATATTCTCATTAAAATCATGTGCCCTGTAAGATCTGGATTTTGCTAGGAAATTGATTTCACGAGGCAAATCACAGTCTTGACCACAACTTCCAAAACATTTTGCTCTCAGAATGATGTTTCTTCAAAATAGACCTCATCACAATGGGTGAGTTTTCCATATGGTCTTGACGTTGGACCAAGAATCAAGGGGCTTAGATTCTTTTGTTACCCTAACTTCTGAAGTCTTTGACTATTTATTTAAGATCTCTATGGGTCCACTTCCTTGACACTGCTCTCTACAGTGGGTGAGAAGAAAAGTAACCTCCACAAAAGAACTACAGACCCATAGGTGTGAAGAAGCATTCATAAATTCAATAATAATAGTTTTGAAACAAGATCATGTCAGAGCTTGCTTAAAAATCCCCTGATCTGGGGGCTTCCCCGGTGGCGCAGCGGGTGAGAGTCCGCCTGCCGATGCAGGGGACGCGGGTTCGTGCCCCGGTCCGGGAAGATCCCACATGCCGCGGAGCGGCTGGGCCCGTGAGCCATGGCCGCTGAGCCTGCGCGTCCGGAGCCTGTGCTCCGCAACGGGAGAGGCCACAACAGTGAGAGGCCCGCGTACCGCAAAAAAAAAAAAAAAATACCCTGAACCCATTTACTTAAGAAATTATCCTCTTTGCTTGTGTTTTGCTACCTTCCATTTAGGGTAACTTCATCGTCTGCCAATTGTTAAATTGTAGTTACTAAATCCTAATAATTCTATATCATTACATCTCTCTCTTTATAGGGAAAACAGATGGAGAAAAACCAACAACAGTTGAGAAAGGTGGGTTAGATTTTGGTACCAAAATATTCGTATGTTTTAAAAAAGGTCTCTTTGAACTTAATCTCTGTGATGAGTTACATTCTTTCCTGGATTGTAGTCAATGGGAGCAGAATACAAACCTTCTGAGAATAGGTTTCAAACCTCTTTTAAGAGAGAAAAGCCTGTATTTGAAAATAAGCAAACTGCAAATGAGTCTATTCACTTAATGACAGCTATGGAAAATGGTGTCATATCACAATTTATCATTCCTAAGAATGAAAATAGGGGCTAATTTAGTAGCTGTGTGTACACAAACGCTACCCAGTAATTAACAGTGAAGCCACCTAGTAGGAGTGGTATGCTTGAGAGATCTTGAGACCCAGAAAACTTTCCATTCATAATATGAGATTAGAATAACCCAACATTTCTCCCTTCCTAAGTCAACTCCCACTGAATACAGGAGAAACAACATAGAACATCATTTGTTATCTACAGTGGGCCAGTGGCATTGTTTATTGCCGGTGTATTGTTTATCTGGGGCTTATGCTTTTTTTGCTTCTCAATCAGGTGGATTGTCAACAGTGACCCTGACTGGAATCATAGTTGGGGTCTTACTAGCCATTGGATTCATCGGTGGAATCATCACTGTGTTTGTTCGAAAAATGTCAGGAAGGTACTCGTAAGTAAATATCTTAGGCCCGTGTGATAGGTAAATGAGGGCAGCCATTTCCAACCTTTGAACTAATAGAAACCTCCAAATAAAGGTCGTGTTCAGAAGCCACCAACCTCCGTAAGCACTACATCTGAAGCTTCCCCAGAAGAACAGGTGTCTACTTGGGGCCTTATAAATTTCCAGGAAAGTGCCAGAGATGGCTCTTTAGTTGACTTCCATTGAGATCTCACCAGATTTGACCTCTTGTCTTAATTTTCCAACTAAGTGAACTTGAACGAAAACCCATCTGTTGGGAAGATAACATATGATTGGGTGGGGAAGGATAAATGCTATACAACTGGGGGGTCGAGGGACACAATTAGCAATACAGTTGCAGAGTTATGTGTCTGGAAATGCCCAGGAATCTGACCCTGGGTGTGAGGACCAGGCCTGGAGGAGGGATGAGCAGGGAGAGAAGAGCCCCATAATCCAGAACTGGAAGACGTAGACAAAGGACAATAGGAACAATGACTTACGGGATTACCAGTCACAGTGCCAGTAAAAGAAGTGACCGTCACCTTTCTCTTTGTTTTCACAGGCCCTAAAGAGCTTAAGAATTGTGCCCTCCTGCCAATACGTTTTAAAAAAGAGAGTTTCCGACTTCCCCCTCATGCCTGACCATGTGGGGAAGATGACCCGTGGAAATGCTTCACCACTGCACTCAAAATCCACGGTGATTCCCCCACTTGCCAAAAGTAATGGAAGGAAAGAGTATTCATAAGACTTGCTTCTCTAAGCGTATGTCTTTTGAAAAAAAAAATTGTTTTAATATAAATTTTGTATAAGATGATTTAAAAGACAAAATGCATAGAAAACGGAGCAAAGCTATGTCATCTGATGTGTAACTAAGGTAGACAATATAATTCAATCGATGTTAGAAACTGAAATCATGTCTTTGTTCTGATTGTTCTCTCTTGTTGTTAAAATGCAAAGGAATTTGGAAATATTTATACCAACGGCGTCCTTGGATGTAAAGCTATGTCAGTAAGTGGCATAAGCATTTTGCAGTTTCTGATCTGTTGAAATGTATGCATTCCAGTCTAATTGGGTCTGTTTTTAAAGCCTGATTTGGTGTGAATAATCAAGTAGAAAATCTAAACTTGCATAATATGTAGTGAGCAACTGCCTTTCCTGGTCTGGGTAAATCATTTCAAAGGTATCTATTTTAGATCATAAGCAGAAGTCTGTGCTTTGCGGAAGGCATTTTGTGTCTCACAACAAGGGCACCGACAGGGTCTCAGTGTGCTCAGCTGCCTGCCCCAATGATGACTTTATGAAACGAAGGTTTGCTTCTACCTGCCCCCTCCCACTTCCCTCAGATGATGGGGATCCAGAGCTAAAGGGGTGACCTTCTCTCTTCCCCATGACACAAGTCCTCCAGATTGGCTACTTTGCTCTGGAATATGAGGATCTCAGCCCTGGATGCCGAGGAGGCTGCTGAAGGCCCAAAGGTGCCAGAGGCTCAGGTGTTCCAGGAATCAAGAACCACAGTGATCCCCAACCCCTGTGTGTGCCTCTGAGAAAGAGAACCTGCCAGTTTCCTAACATTTACTTTCTGCCTCGGAAGAAAGATATGGGAATACAGATTTTTAAAAAGCAGCGGGATTTAGATACTCTATTTTAAAATGAAAGATATTTCTGGTCTTCATGAGATCCCACATATTTCTCTGGGGTCACAATTGACAGTTCTGTATTGGCACCATCCGCCTCAGGACATTTCTCCCTGTAGGTGAACTGAATTCTTTCTCCTACACAAAAAAATGTTTGTACTGAGCAGACGCTGCATCACAGTTGTGGTTGTACAGTTCTGATAGCCTCTAAGCTTGTACGGGTTCATAAAACAGGAAAAAGTAAACTATCAGTCTACTTTGGCATGGCCTGTTCCTCTATCTTTTGCAGTAATGTGTGGATGTAATTTTAAACAGTGTGCTCTAGTGTCACTCAAGTCCAGCTGGTCCACCAGCCCAGGTTCCATATTTGAACATCAACTGATGGGGAGAAGGGTCTTTGGAAGAACTTTACGAATCTCTTAAATATCCTCTGTATCATGATCACTCAGATTCCTGAACAGGAGTTGGGAATAATGTTCGTTTCATCTTTCCTATCCTCTCTTTTTTTCTCTCACTGTGAAAAATAATAGTCAACCCCAAGTCATACACTGGACCCATCACCTGCTGGGACAGGACTGTGGGTTTCTTGGTCACATCTGTGTTGGTGCTCAATGCAGTGTAGACATGTTTTGAAATAAAACAGATGATTGCATATAACGATGAGTCAGACCTTTGACTGGGAATCTTGATCAAGTCTGGATCACCCCTGAGAACATCTCCGTATAAAATTACATGTTATATAAACGTTCGCCTCTTGACTTGATTGGAATGAATTATAAACGGGTATATAGGAAGTATATCCATGGGAAAGAAATGTAACTATACATTTCACCCAGAGCTCTGCCAAAGTGGGGAGGTTAAGGTCGAGTGGAGGAATCGGAGGATTCGTGGCACCTTGGCACTACTTTTGCTCTCTCTGGTCACAAAGGGTTAACACGGTTTTGCCTGGCTTCTGATTTCTCTGCCCTGGGGACAGGAGCCACGTAAGGGAGCAGGTATACCTTGCGCCTGCCAGTCCTACCTGGGAACTTGACCTCATGTGGTTAGGGCTTGACCACACAAGAAAAAGAATAATAACCCCTGTGAGGGTTTTCCAACTACCTATGGCCTGGGATGCATGTTGCTCTAGAATTCCTGTTCCTGGGACAGCCCTCAGCTGCAAATACTCCACAGGATCTGCAGTGGCCAGGCCCTCTGCCCCTCTGTCAGGCCATCTACTCCCACCACCACCTACACTGCCCTATATGGATTCCAGTGCCATACACTGTGACTCTCCCTGCCAACCCTACCCCCACTCATAAAGGTTGGATGCTAAAAGCAAGAGAGCCACTCACATCATGCCTTCCTCATAATAAATACCCAGTTTCTGTTAAGTCAGGGTTGTTGAATTTGCCAGATGTCAGGAATCCTGGGTGCCTGATTCTAAGTTGGTGACACAATAGAAAAGGGCAGAATTCGGATGCTTTACAGCTGTAGTACCTCAGAGGAGTCGAATTATTTGGACTTACAGTTTCTTCATGGAAACTTCCATGAGAGGACTTGAAAGCATCCCTTTTTTTTTTTTTTTTGCGGTACGCAGGCCTCTCACTGTTGTGGCCTCTCCCGTTGCGGAGCACAGGCTCCGGACGCGCAGGCTCAGCGGCCATGGCTCACGGGCCCAGCCGCTCCGCGGCATGTGGGATCCTCCCGGACCAGGGCACGAACCCGTGTCCCCTGCATCGGCAGGCGGACTCTCAACCACTGCGCCACCAGGGAAGCCCGAAAGCATCCCTTTTCTACCAGAAAACTAACCATATCCACCTAGTCCCCCAGACCCTCAAGGGAACTGGGCCCTCGGCTACATCAAGTGTAAATTTATATTCCCTTACACACTGCCCGCAGGAGATGACTAGGAACTAATGGGGCTGCCAAGGGCACTGGAACTTTAAGGAAAAAACTCCATCCTCTCTTCCATCAGAAATGCCTGGGGGGGCTTCCCTGGTGGCGCAGTGGTTGGGAGTCTGCCTGCCGATGCAGGGGACACGGGTTCGTGTCCCGGTCCGGGAGGATCCCACATGCCGCGGAGCGGCTGGGCCCGTGAGCCATGGCCTCTGAGCCTGCGCGTCCGGAGCCTGTGCTCCGCAATGGGAGAGGCCACAACAGTGAGAGGCCTGCGTACCGCAAAAAAAATAAAAGAAATGCCTGGGGACCGAGCAGTGCCAAAGTTAACTGTTTATGCCATGTTAAAGCCTCTTTAACACCTATTGTTTTTTCTTTCAACCTGGGAGAACTAATCAAAACCAGGACTTAGTTCTGCTTCATGTGCTGCCTTTAATGAGCACGGAAAGAACAAGTAACTTAATCCCTTACTCTCTCTATCTTTATTTTAATTCATATTGATTTAGTATTCAGGGCTGCTTGTGATAAATGCTTTGATGGGGCATAATGCATATTCTGACATTGCCTGCTAATTTAAACTTTGTTTGCTAATTTAAAGTCCAGTGGAAGTAGGAGAAGAATATCCCTGAGATATAGCTGGATATTAGCACATACACTTGGAGCAACAGTTATCCACCCGTGAGCATCAGAGAACTTGGCGTTCCCTGAAAGACTGCATTTCTCTTTGCTCCTCCTGAAGCTTAAAGCCAAGTTAGCATGTACAGTAGATCATGGGGCTTTTAATTCAATAAATACACAGTATGTAACCACAGCTCATGGACAGTAATGCAGACTAAATGTAAAATCTTGGAGTAGAATAATAAAGACTGTCCTGCTGGTGTGAAGAATGTGAGATTTTGGCCCATGGACCCAGCACACATGGATCCGCCTGATTCAGGCAAAGTGCCAGCCTGGATTCACCGAACATTAATCCTCAGCACTTTTCACTCTCTCTGAGGGGTCATTTTATCAGACACGGACGCAAAGCACCCAGGGTTCTCTTTCTGCATCCAAGCGCTCGGGGTCACAACACAGAGTCCCATGCATTTTCCTGAGACCTTGCTCCTCCCAGGTTTTCTTTCCTACCCGCTTCTTTCCACTGCCTCTAACTCCCCACGGATGCTCATGTTTGAGAAAACAATCCCATACCAGTCACAAGAGGGATGTTTCTGAAGTGATGGTAAGCCTCTGGGTGCTACCAGAGAGGTTACCTGAAGTAAGTGCTTGAACAACCTAAACCACTTAACAGCACCCTGTGGGTAACCTCAGGAAGGCAAAGAATGTTCTGAGTGAAGGGAAAGCTTGAGCCTTCCTTCTACTCCCCGCCCCGCCTTCCACACAGCACCTGGGCATGAGGCTGAGGCTGTGGATGTTTATCCAGCAAGACCCAGGGACAAAAGACACTCACAGGCTGACAAGGTGTTTGGGGCTGCTGCAGAGACAT